AGTGGTACAAATTGAGTAATCAATGATTGGAATTCCTGCAGGTTACATACTTGTTCATCCATTTCCCCTCAAACTGTTTGTGCGAAAAGACTACTTCCAGCTGCCCTCAGGCAATAAGAGATAAATAAACATGAATATGCTCAGAACGTCATTATGGTACAAATACTGTCTAGACTTACAAATCCACTAGTTCATTTGCTTCATATAGACTTGCTTTTGCTTACTGAAGTCACTTATGTCGTTGGTTTTCACTTTAGAGTTTTTACGAAACGTTGACGTGGTCATCCCTGTTTTGCATCATGATGCAAAACACAATTCACAGATGCTATGAACTGATGATGCAAGAGACACTGCCCCTAATCAAAGCATATTATTTCACCTCTCATTATAGGGGAGGACTCCAAGGCTGGCGCAATCTTATTTTGGAAAGGATTAGTCTGTCCTTTGGTACTATTACTGTATTACTGTAAATATAAAATGCTCAGGGGACTGTGGGGACTCGCTAGCATTTAACATTAACATGAGATTAACTGCTTTTGGCATTTTTCTAGGACTAAAGTGGTCTATCAGGCATTCACTAAGCCTTCCTTAGCATGTAGTATGTGCAACTGCTTTCTCCCAAATAAGTGGATGGGATTTTTTTTTTTTTTACAGAGGAGGAATTAATATAGGGAAAATAGTAAAGTGAAAAAAAATTCACCTTTACTATCAAAATGATATTGTGACTTCTCTTCAGTGACCATGGATTTCTATTGTAAATAAATAATAATACACAAAATCTTTTAATCAGTCTTAGATTTAATGATGCACGATGAACTGAGCTTCATTCAGTATTTGTGCAGAGAGAATATTGATAAATCTAGGTGCTTATATTAATCTTCCACTGACATGAAAAATAATCTGACAATGTTTTAATTATGCATAACTTTATATTCTCCTTGTTTATATTAGTCCTGTATGTTAATAGTACTTCTGTGCAGTAATGCTTTACTTAATGAAAACATACATGTTTAATTTCTCATGTTGGATGTTTTTCCTCTGTCTCATAAGTCCTTTTTTTTACAGAGGTTTGAGGTGCACATGCTGAAGATGCTGTATTTATTTCAGTCTTAAGAGTGGGAGCAGCTCTCTGCAAGCCGGCCTCTTCTTATTGCTAAATAAGGGGCTGGTCAGATGCAGTTTAGCACAGATTCAGAAATCCTGCCGCCTTTTTTCCTCTCTTTGTCCTTGGAGTTGGGTCCGTATATAGGTTTTGGGGTTTATGTCTTTTTTGACTTAAGGCATGAGGATGTGCTAAGCGCCCAGTGGCTCACACAGCCTGATGCTCTGTCTGGTGCTGGGAACAAGATTCGCTGTTTGCGGAGAGTGTTGCAGTTCCTGCAGTCTGAGAACCTGTGTGGATGGTGGGGGAAACAGAGAGGTATTAAGTTTTACATCCCCACCTATTCCTTTTGGTATCTGTTTATGGAGTTGCTGCATATGACTCTGCATAATCCTTTTCTGAACTTGTTCATGCCAGCTGCCTCTACTATTCCTTGTGTCAGCAAATTTGACTTAAGATCTTTTCATTTCTTAAACTTTCACATTTCTTAAATGCTGACCTTTCCACCACGGATGGGCTCCTAATTCTCTTAGGAAACTGTGAGGGTGGTGAGGTGGATTGTTTATTGCTGTTGATTTATTTTACTTTTGAAATGCAGCAAGTATTTTACTTTTGCTGCTAGTACAGGGAAATGTCCAGGCTTCTTGTTGGCTCCTTCCTTTCTTTGGGACTGCTCATTCTCATTCTAGGTTGTGTGGGGGTTAGGAAAGGTTTTTTTTCTGGTTGCTGTTGCTGGTGGGTTTTTTTTCTTTTGTCCTTTTTTTTTTTTAATCTTTGCCTCATTGTTTCTGTCTTGAAATTGGGTATTTGTGAACTGGGTTGAGTTGGTTGCTCTGCTCTCCTGCAACATTAAGTGGGATAGTATTGTAAATGCTGCTGCAGGGAAGATTTGTAGACTAGTTCTACTAGGATGCGTAATTTTCCTGTGGCATGATGGGCAAATCGAAGGCGAACAAGCCTTTTTTGTCTTGTGATCTCCAGCTTTGAGGAATATAGTGATAGAGACAGTCTAGTATGTGTGTTTGTGGAATGGTTTGTTTCCCTGCAAGTAGAGTTTGTGCTTTCATAAACTAAAACCTCACAAGACTTCTAAGAAATTTACATGGTTTTCCCTGAAAGAATAGAAGGCATTCATGTTGCCTCCTCTTCACATTACTGAAGTAGTAAATTTCTAATAAACTGATTTATGGGAGGAAATGTGGATTTTTTACTATAGTTTATATATATGTATATGTTTCCTGTTACATAGTCTTTTTAAGCTTGTCTTGCAGAACAACAGCTTCATAAATGGTTTGAACAGAAACTTGTACATTTGCATGGGCTAGGCAGAAAAAAAAGTGAATGGAAATATATATTCTACAATTTTTTTTTTATAATTCAGTGTGAATATAGAAGTTAGTTATGGAAAGCACAGCTTTTGAATGCGGCCTTACTTGAATAGAGTTCCTTCGTACTTTCGGAGTCAGTACACACCTAATCTGTGCTGTTTTCTGAACTTAGTTTTATAAAACAGAGTTACTGAGAACACTTTTCTTCCATTTCAGTCACAGAGGCTGAGACTTCTTGTTTGTCGTTGCTTGCTGAATTTCTTTGCACTTTTAATAAATTTCAGACAAAAAACAAGTCCTACTCTTGCTAAGGGGTCACACATTTAAATATTTTCAAATTGCTGAAAACATTTAAACTTTATCTGTTATGTTGCCTCTTTACTTACCAGCTGCTGTTCTTTGTACCAACAAAATTGCCATTTGCATCTAATTTATTTTTCAGTTCTAGCATTTTACTTCACTGCTGTTTGTCTCCCTATCTAACTACATAACAGCCTATAAAAATATTATAGTGATTCAGGTTCTTCAGTTCAAGCAGAAGTGTGTGCTCTTTTTCTGACAGTAATATCCAATGATTAAACTAATGCAGCCATAACCTAAAAGCTTTGATAATGTTCATTATTCAAACTGCTTCAGTGGTTGATTTCAAGGTTAACTCCTAAATGTTAATAGCTACAAGGATGCTGTGGTCACTATAGATTTATCTTTTTTTTCTCCCTGTTGAGTTAAGCTTAAAAAGCTGTTTCACTATAACTTTAAGATTACATGACTAGTGGTTCCTTTGGTACCCAGCATAAAATAGATAAAATTGAAAAGAAAATCAAGATTATGCCTGTGATAGACAGCTGTATTGGTGCCTTATGTATTTGAACGTGCTTGTGAGAAGTTAAATCAGTGGTATTATGGCTAAGTTGTTACTTACAACAAACGTAGAATTGATTTTGTTCTGGGAATAGCTTCCTTATTTACAGGATTCTTATTTCTTATATACATCTTGAATCCAATTCCTGCGAGTGTTTAATCTCACATAGTCACAGCACAATTTTTGAAATTACAAGGAAATAGGAAAATAAACCATTCTTTTGAAAATACTCTATGCAGCTTTTGGACAAATGGCTTACTGTCAAAATATAATAAAAAGCAGAAACTCCTTTAAAAAAAACAGTCATGCTTATCTCGGCTGCACAAAAAATCCCTGGGTTAGCTGGGAGTCAGATTTCCAGTGTTAGCTTTGTAGACTAGCTGCCTGCAGTCAGTGAAGAGCATTGACTTGGCCAGCTACTGAAGAGTAGATAATGTGCTGGATGTTCTCGTCTCTGGTTCCACATATCAAAAGTTATTTGTGGCACCATCTTTTTAAGAACTGAACAGGTTTATATGGACTGTCACTAAAGACTAAGTAGGTTGTAGAGTATAAATCGCCTTTGAAACAAAGTATATTTGAAATAATCTGTAGTCAGTTTGGAGGAAGGAGGTGAAATGGTGCAAATGTTGCAGTGCCCTTTGGGGAACGGTGGTGTTGAGATTGTCTGCTGGTTCTTAAAAGCACGTATTTGTAAACTAGGCAAGAGGAGACAGAACAGAAGATAGAGTGTGGTTCTGAAGTGCATCTTTATATTGTGAGGAAGTGATTGTCAAACCACTCCTATGAAGAAATTGAGAATGATAAGTGGACTTTATGGATTATGTCATAAAAGAAACTGGACCCATAATATTGAGTTTTAATACTGCAGTTTGACCTGGGGCTTCTCTACAGAGACCCTGTCGCTTTTCATCTAGTTCTGGAATTTCTTTGTGGTATGCTATTGCTTCACCTTCAAAATTGGGATGTCATGATTTCCAGTGGAGGTTTCTCTCATCATGTATCAATTCGAGGTTGTTTAATACAAATTACAGAAGTACTGGTTTGCATTAAAATAGCATATGACAGAATAAGCAGTGTTTCTTTAGAGGAGCATTTTTTTACTTTTTTTTTTTTTTGTGAGGTACTGTGAGTCATTTAGTTCTTTTCTTAATTATCAGTAGCTTTTATTATTCAGAATTACCTTTAATGTTAACAGGGGGTTTCACAGATGTTGGTTTCTAGAAATCAGTTTAATTTCAGTAAAAGAAAAATATTTGATCTCTTCTCCATGCCTATTCCTTAAATCATTTCTGTAACAGGGTACGTGCGTTAATAAGATCATTCATTTAACCAAGTACATGCATTAATAAGGTAAAATCTCTTTGAACCTTAGATACTTTTTAATCTTTGAATTAGATTTAAAAGAATGAAATATTAGAATTTTTACCAATAAATTTAAATAGAAATTGAATAATTTGAACTAATGGTGCAATTAAGTGGTGACATTTCAACATTAAATATGATGATTTAGTATATTACATTAGATATTTTCACTTAATTTTTATGAAGAGTAGGATTTTTATGAGCAGTAATTCAGAAAAGTGTGAGTCTACTTAATGGAATAATTCTCCTTAAGATTATTTACGCTGACATTGTTTTTTTCTGCCTCTGATACCCTTTCTGGAATCTGGAAGCTTTTTACTCATTGTCATATTTTTTTTCTTAGTTTCAGCCCAGACTCTGAAGAGCAACCTTGATTCAATGAACCATCAGATCCAGCGCCTAGAAAATGACATTAAGAATTTCCCTAAAACACAAGATGAACATGATAAGTTTGTAGAAAAGATGAGCATATCCTTTTTACGTGTCTTCGTTGGGGATCTGAACATTCTGATCGTATGGTTAAGTATTTACAACACTTGAAAATATGTTTTTAGTTTCTTCTTCCAGTCTTTGGCACAGAGAAAAGCATGAACATGGTGAACGTAAAAAAAAAAAAAAAAAAAGTACAACTTAAAACATTTGTCATCGGACTTCCAAGGGGAAGATGGCTTTCTTGAAGGAAGTAGTTATAATGACCAGTCATAAAGATAGGAGTATGGGGTTTTTTCCCTTGAAGAATGGTATTTAATGGTAATTGCCAAATCATTTCAATCTAGAAATCTGTCAGCAGTATTGTTAAGAGCATTTACTAATTTACCTTTGGATGTGTTGTTTTTTTGAAGAGAGGAGTATTAATTTTGTTAATGGTTTTTATTTATTTTTTAACAGATCATTTTAGAGAAAAAATATTTATATTTTTTGTATTCAAGAGTGACTTGTCCTTTTATTTCTGTAGGGAATAGAGACTGTAGGTTCTTCAAGCACTTGTAAGTAAATCTGTAGGGGAATACCATATGATGTCTGTCTAGCCTGTTTTCCCTCTGAAATTTTCGTGTATCCAGCTTTACATTTGCTCAGAAGTGTAAAGTAACAAGTGTAGTATGCTGTAGAGGCAAGAAGCTCACAAAACTGTGAGAAAGACTAAGCAAAAGTCCTTTTTTTCTTAAAATAAATTTGCAGGTTTTTATTTTGCAGAAAGCATATTTCTGTATATATGGAAGTATTCAGAGTATGGTTCATAGCCAAGTCCAAGGCATTTTGTGCATTTATAGAAGCTCAGATAATTCATGTGACATCTGTTCTTTATTACTTCAACCAGACAGAAGTAATTTTTCAAAGGTAAAAGAAAAAAAATCTAGAGCCATTTGTAGCTGCTCATCACATTAGTAAGTGGATGAAATGAAAAGGTTCTCCTAACTACCATGTATTTGGCAAGTAAGGTTTAGCGGGATTAACCATCTGAACAGATTCAGTGACAGAAATTCATGAGAAGATATTAAGTATCTTCTCTGTATGGATTTATTTTAAGTTTCTGACAAGACTGCAGAAAAGTAGCTTAAGGGAGACGACTCATGACTAAGTGGAAAATTGTTTCTTGTTACTTACATATTCTCCTCCACTTTGTCTTGTTTGCAAGGTTAAGAGACTTGCTAGTAATCACACTTATCAGTTCTGCTATTAAAAAAAAAAGCTTATTATTTCCCTGAAATACATTAACATCAGAAAATCTTAACAGTATTGCCTTGTAATTGTCCCTTGCCTTGTCATCGCGTGCATGGGCTGCATACCTTCATGGAAGCCCCACTTTTGTTTAGAAATGACACCAAGACATTGAAATGCACCTTTTGTAACCGTGTTTTCTTGTTAAGCTTGGCAGCTCTGTTTTACAGGCTTTATACATTATTTTTCAGTTGTGTTGAGTAAGTACTTTGCCAGTTGTTGTTTTGCTACCTATGTATTTACTGTACTTATAGAAGTGATTTGCCTCGCTCAAGTGATTCGGTGAGAGCCCAGCAGGTGATGTGTACCTCTTTCTGCTCTGCAGTTTACCACCTGAATTTCTTTAAGAAGAAGGTTCATCTGACAATGCAAAAGAGTTTAAAAAAAAAAAAAAGTACTAAAGCTTTTTCATACTGTCAAAAATAAGAGGATCCTATGAAATCTTTAAAAATTAATTGTTTAAAGTCTCCTGGGCAGCCATGCTTCAGTTGGTGTCATAGTTAGCTTACCAGATCCTGGTAGTTACAATAGGCACCCTGAACTGTAGGAGTCTGACAGCGTCTATCATCCTGGTGAATTTGGTGGCTTGACAAAATAGGTGAGACTGTGAGAAATGAACTGATTCTGCCTCAGGATTGATTTCTGTTTTCATAATTAATAGATGACCTGATAAATGGTGGTTCTCTTTTTTAGAAAGTTATCTCCAGTTATGTCAAGTGATCAAACTTTTTTCTTGGATATTTTAAAATTTTCTACACTCCTCCCCTTTTTTTTTTTTTTTTAATTGAAGAATGAAAGTTAAGGGGAGAGGAAAAATGACATCTTAGTGTTCAATATTCATTTCTTTTGTTTCTGTCAGCTTGTTGAAGAATTGTTGATGGCACATGCGGAGACTAGAAAGTTAAAGAATTTCAGGCTGAACATCTCTCTAACTGCTTGAGTGTTTGAGAAAATTTGAGATGTGTCTGAACGTAAATCATCTCTCAGTAGAGAGTTTTTATGATGCAGGAATTACACCATAATTAAAGGCATAGTTTCTCTTTCTCGTTCCTGCTAATAAACAAAGCTGGTTACCAGTAACTGTGGATGAGACATTCTTCAGAGAATATGAAAGGAATACTGCTCGATATCATACTAAGGTAGGAGATCAATTACAATAAAAATACCATTCCTAGTATTAGTTCCTAATAAAAAAGTATTTATAATCATAATACAGAAGCAAATGCTATGAAATAAATTACTTAATCCTAGGTTTTTAAACCTTTTTGACAAAGAAGTTTTTGGTACTGTGAGTGACAAAAAGATGAACAGAAATTCTTCTTACATCTTCACCTAGGGTTTTTTTTCTTGAACTATATCCAAGCAGGATAATTTGTAATTTGCCTTAATCAGTGCTTTATTTAGTGCATACAATTATTCATCTCATTGCATACTACTTGATGTAACTCTTGAATGCTTAGAAATAACTTAAAACTACTGTAGGAATTAAATACCATTACAGGAAGAGTGGTATGTTACTTTTCTGCAACCTGTTTAAAAAAATTGCCATATATTGCAGAAGTAATATGTTCTGCTAGATCTACCCCAGGGATTAAAAAACTTTGAATTAAACTTGCTAGAACTAAACTAATATGGTTTTGATTGCTAACTTGATACGTATCAAATGGTTATTTTAAGACATTTTTATTATTTACAAACTGAGGAAAATTAGTTGATGGTATCTGAATGGTTTACATTTAAAGTAAGACTATAGGCAATTAAATCAAATAATTTGATAATGGAAGCACGTTCCATTTTACATCACTTTCTTTAGAGCTGTGCAGAAATTCATGTGCATTGGTTCTGTTTGTCAGTGTGACTTCTTGCTTAGAATGTTTTATTTTTTCCATTTATGATCATAAGGTTCAATGAATATAACAGAAGAAATTCAAATTATGTAACTATAGGTTGATTGTCATCTTTTGTAAGCAATTAATAACTAAGATATGCTATGACCATCTGATTTGATTTCAAGCATAATAGAACAATCTCAGCAAATAATCCCACTATCAACTTCATACCTTCTTTCTAACTAAAAACATATATTTTATGGCAGTATACAATCTTAACTTTAACATTTCAAGTTCTGCTACATCTGTAAATGATTGTACCGATGATGTTTCTTTCAGTTATACATAGTGATGCTGGTTTGACTCCTTGTGGTCAAACCAGTTTTGTGGTTTTAATTTCTAGCCATCATGACACTTGAAAAACTGTGTAAACCTTTTGGGACCTGTTTGTTAGTAGGTATCTTTTCCTCCATAGCAGGTATCTTTTTCCTCCAATTTTTATACTGTGATCAGGTTACTTAGATTCATCTGCAATAACAAAGTGGACTCACTTTTTTAGTTTAGGACTTTTTTTCACAGTCTTTACTGGTGTTTTTTTAATATCCATTTGAAATACTGATTTCAACTCAAAACAGTATTTCAATACTTTTGTAGCTTCATAGATTTGAAGAGTAAAAAATGTAATAGCATTTATCTCTTTCTCTACATCAAAAAAACTGGCTCTGGTACGAGCATTGTTGTAGTGGAACTTTGTGTTCAATTAGTAAACACAGTTCAAACTTGCTTCCACGATCCCTGTTTGCTGGGACACAGTTCTGCAGCTCGTAGGTGTGTGTCCGTTTGTTTGTAGTGAACACTCTGGACTTTTGGAGACAGCTGTATTCAAATACTTCTGTGGGATTCCAAAGTGATTTATTTAGTTGCTGTCTTGCTGTTGTGCTAGGATTTTAGTTTGTCTGCCTATACTGGGATTTTTATAAGTATTTAATTGCCTAAGTTTTAAGGAGTGCTCACAGCACTCTGAAGTCATTGGGGTCATGAAGATGACCTGTATGGTTGGCCACCAGAAAGAGTTGTTGTTGAAAGTAGAATATAGTATGGTTAAGGTAAAAAAAAAAAAAGACTAAAATATTCTTTCTGTGAATTTTGTGCTATATTAAATAAATTATGTGCGATTCTTGAGAGAACTTTTTCATGATCTGATCCATAGCTAGGATTGTACTTTACTTGAATTGTAAATAATTTAACTTTAAATGTGAGAGGTTTCTTTTATAACTAGCCCAGCTTCATGCAGCACTGGGGAGTCTGATTCAACAGTTCAGAAAAGCAATTACAGACTACGACAAATCCAACTTTCACTCCTTGTTTCATTTCAGTGTTTGTGCCTCTAATTGAAGCTTTTTTAAAGTGGGAAACTCTGAATTTTATACTTATTTGCTGTAGGTGTGTATGCTGGTTTCTTTTCAGTGATGCTAAAACATGAGTGTCTGGGTGGGGATTACGGAAGCTATTCAGAATAATGAGGTTTAACTTTAAATATTAAGGAAGATTAAAGACAACAGAATGAGAAGCTATTTCAGAGGGAATACCCGTAAAGTTGTACAGAGTTAACTTATTAATTAATATCTTGACTGTAGATACATCAATAATGAATACCACCTCTTCCCCCCTCCCAACATGCATTGACATCCCCCGTGACCAAGGTTTATTCCTCCAGAAATTGGGCAGGAGCTTTGAGCGTTGTTCTGTGGAGAAGGGAGATGTGGTAGAGGTAGGGTGGCAGGAGAGCACACTGTTTGATCTCTGGGATTAGCTTCAATCTTTTTGTTATCCTGCTAGTTGGAGAGAGTGACTTTTTTCTGTGTTGCTTTTGGACAATTATATAGTTTGTAAACAATATTACATTAATTTATTTATATA